TGGTGTGTTGGGTGGGGCGGCAGTGGCAGCGGGGTCCTGGGTCTCAGAGGTGGCGGCGTGCCAGTGTTGGCATGGGGACCCTCTTCTGACTTGGCACACGCGCTCCTCAGCCTGGGTGACGCAGCTCCCAGTGGAAGAAGAAAGTGTTTGTCAGGAGCCAGCATTTCCGACCCCCGCCCCAGCAAAATGTCAGCGCAGACACTGCGGCTGCACAGCTGGGGTCTATTCTCCGGGACGACAGTGCGTCATTCTCTGCTCCGAGGGCCCGGCCGGCCGTCTGGGAATAAGGGCTGCTTTTCACTGCATGGCCAGAGCGCGCGATGGCCAGGCGGTGTCCTAACAGGGGACTCCGATTCGTGTCATGGGACGTCAGTTCCTTTCCGATCGTTCACGCTGACAAGACGGGGGCCCCCCACGCAGACGTGCCAGGCTGCGTGGGCACTGAATGTGGCTTTGTGTGCGCTGGCGTCACAGCCGACTCCAGACGCGCTTCCGCAGGCATGCCCAGGAGGGGAGCCGCCCGGTGGGCCGCTGTGACCCTGCAGGCCCTTCTGTGGCCCCACATCCTGTGAGGGGGAAGGCCTTACTGTTTGCCACTGGGGCTCTTTGGGTCAGAGGCTGCAGCAGCTGCTGGGGACTCGCAGTACGCCCAGTGGGCTTTGGTGCAGAGATAGGACAAGTCGTGTGTGATGCACTTGCCAGCGTGGCCAACGAGTGACAGGGGACTGCAATGCTCACCTCCACAGCCCGGCCACGCTGCCCAGCTGGCTCCCAATGTGTCACGAGGAGCGAGCAGAGGCCGGCTGGCTTAGGCCCCACAGGGTCATTCCCGGGAGGGTGGCAGTCTGTGGGTGTCCTGAGGGCAGCTGGCCAGAGCAGCTCCCGGCACGTCTGCAGCTGATGTGGGGGCCGGGCTGCCCGGAAGGCCATGCGAAACCTAGGCCAGGGCCTCCAGGCTGTGTGCACTGAGAGAGACTCAGGCTGATCCCATTCTCCGTGAACTTCTCAAAGTCCTCTCCTGGGGCTTCTCTGCTTGTGGCTCTAAAGCACGCTTCCAGCAGTAAGGCAGGGCAGCGTGCCCTCCTCCTGCAGGGACAGCGGGGTGGCCACACCAGGGAACCCCGCACCCGCTGACACTCCCTGTCTGCCCCACGGTGCGGGCTCGCTGGGTCCTACGGTGCCAGCGCAGTGCAGCTCGCTGGACCCTGACTCTTCGCTGTCCTTGGAGGGTCGTAGAGGAGTGGCTGGGGGGGGGGGGATGTCTCATCGGCACCCCAACCTCAGGCTTCACCAGCCGCGTCCAGCATGGTTGCCCTGGTGGGCAGCATCAGGGGCTGGCCTGGGCACCTGCCTCGCTCTGCTGTGGGCCGGGGGACGCCCAGCCGGTCCCGGTGCCATCTCGTCTGCGAAGTTGAAGAGACGGCCTGGACAGAGCTGTGGCCTTTCACGTTAGCGCCACGCACACAGCAAGTCCAGGACTGGGCCTGCGGGGCAAGGAGGGTCGTCCAGGTGCAGAGAGGGACGCCTGCAGGGAGGTGGTGCCCTCACTGTGGTCACACACCTCTGACCGTGCCAGGCCCCGCCACCCCGGCTCCCGTCGCTGTGCAGACGGATGTCCGTGATTTGGAGAAAGTTCACGATCTCCAACACAGTTCAGATGATTGCCTTGGGCCAGCAGGTGCATGGTGGCTGTGTGCTGGACTCCCCATGGCCGCCGTGGTGGTAGCCCTGGACCCGGCAGCTCACTGTCTGTCTCTGCCTCTCTCTGTGCAACACTTTTGCCCTATAACAAATTTTAAAATAATAATAAGTAAAATTAAAAATATATATTGTCTCAGGAATTAAAGCATGAGTGAATTAGATAAAAAAGGAAGTTGTACATTAAAAAAAAAAAAAAAAAAAAGATTCCCCCAGCCCCCTCACTCCTAGGCCGCCTGAGTCTGTAGAGCCGAGGTGAGCCCAGTGTGAGCGGGGTCCACGAGCAGTCCCTGCCTCCCTCTGTGCGAGCACGTCTGCTCTCTGCCTGCGTGTCACTGCTGGTGGTGTCCAGCCCTCGGGCCCTGTGTCTCCTGACCTTCCCAGGTGGTGGAGCACTCGGGGGGGGTGAGGCTGTGCAGTGACTCGAGACCGCACTCGTGCCTTCCTGCCAGGACTTGGGCCACGCGTGGACTCATGTGTCTTTGTACGAAGTTCTGATTCCGGACTCTGGGACGTCTCAGAAGAGTCGGCATAAGGACAGTTGGCCTCGGCTTCCGTGTGCTGGGCGTGGAGCCCTGCACTCCTACAACGCATGCTTCTTCCCATCCCGCCCCTTGCCGCCCTCCTGCCTGAGCAGACACGGGGTGCTGTGAGCTGCCAAGCTCCACAGCTCTGCCCCCGTGGCTCTCCCCTACCCATTCCCAGCTGGTCCTTACTCATGTGGCCCTGTGTGTCCCGACGCAGGGACCATCCCTCAGCCCCTGCCCTTTGCCGCCTGCTGGCTGCACTGGGACCGGGCCCTGCAGCACCCCACGAGTTTCCTCTGTAACAGGGGAAGTGTTAAAGAAGTGCTTGACCTGTGGTACCATTGAAAATGGGAAGGGTTCCTTGGAAGGTGTCCATGGGCTGGCGTGTGGTGCGGTGCTAGCCCAGTGGCATTGCTCTGCAACGAGAAGGCCAGTGGGAAGGTCTGGGTTCGCATCCCAGAACCTCCCCGTACACACCAGGCACATGTGTGCCCACGATCCTATGCTGGCCTAGCTGGGGGAGTGTCCCGGTGTCAAAGGTGAAGGCCCTGTAGACACATCACGGGCGTGTGTTTCTCAGAAATACTCGCGTGCGAGGCGTGTGCTGGGCCTCCTGCACACTTTCTTCCCTCCAGGGGTGCCGGCTCCGTCCTTCCCTGCAGCTTTTCCTGTCTCCCTGATGCTTCTCGACACACGAAATGAAGCAAGTGTGGGGAGGCACTGTCGGTTCACCCGGCGCCGACGGCCATGTCCATGCTGCCGAATCTCAGCCATGGGACCAGCACGAAGGGAGGGCACAGGGCAGCCTTCCGCAGTGTCTGCGTGGCGGGTCGGGGAGCCTGTCTGGCCTGCCCTCGCCCCGGCCCTGAGCCTGGTCTGGCACACCGTGTAGATGCTTCGTACGTGATACCGAATCACAGGCCGTTAGCCCGTCCAGCCCAGCCTGGCTGGGAGCGTTCTGCCGTGCGTCTGCGGAGCTGGGACTCTGCTTGCGCTCCCCTGACGTGGGAGAGGGCGCAGAGACTCTGCCAGTGCCTATCAGCTTGAGAGGGGGTGCTGGCTGGTTCTGCGCCTTGGTAGCCAGTGGAGCACCGAGGGCGGGATCGAGACCAGGAATTTTCTATTGTCTTCTGGGTTGTCCTGTTTCTTCCTTCTCTGTCTCAGGACATGGCTTTTGTTCACGTCCACGTGCCTTTCAGGTCCTGTAGACTGCCCACCCACCCCAGCCCAGTCCTGGGATGTTCTAGGGGCAAGAGGGCCAGGTCAGGACCCAGGGATGGGCTGCTTGTGTCAAGGGGAGTCGTGACCTCTGAGAGCCCCTCAACTCCCGGCTTCCTCGTGGACCCTGTCCTGCACCCACAGGCCTGGTGGCCACCGTAGTGGAGAGTGCCCAGGCTCAGAGGGGCAGGCGATGTCCTGGCTCCCAGGGACTGAGCTGCAGCCCTGAGATTTAGCCAGAGCTCTGGGCAAAGCCAAGGCCTCTGGAGGGCGTCTTGTACCCTCGCCTTATTGGAAGCCCTGGTCCCAGGACCAGGGTCTCCAGGACTGGAGCTGGCTGGGGACTTGCCGCCTGGGTGATGACACAACTGCCTGCCCTGAGGATCAGCTGTCACTTGTTGGCAGCTTGGCCTGAGTCAGCGGCCCGTGAGACCATGGAGCTGTCCCTCCTAGGAGTGAGGGTAGGTGGGGGCTGGTTCTGTGTCTTCAGCACCTGGGGTGGAGGCCTGAGGGTGCGGCTCAACCCAGGGCACGCAGGCAGGCCACTCTCAGGCACATGGGTGCTGGCCGAGGGGCCAAGGCTGGTCCTCTTACAGCTACCCCTAAAGCCTGCAGCCCTTCCCGCAGGGAGAGGCTCCCCTCCTCCCCCTGCCCCCAGCCCAATGCCTGTTGTGATGAAGAAGTGAGACCAGGGCAGGTTTAGGACACTTTTGGAAGGGGAGGGCCTGCAGCAGAGGGGACAGCGTGGAGGACAGTGGCTGGCCGGGCTCCCCATGCACTCAGTGTCGTGTCTGCAGCACCCCCACTGACAGGTACATCCGGTGTTGGGACCACGCACGCTGCCATGACTGGGCAAGGGCTGCCCGTCATGTGCTGTTCGGTACACAGACCCGTCCTCGGGGCGCACACGTCGGGCAGTCTGTGCCGTCCAGGTTTAGGCTGACCTTTCTCCGTCTTCTCCCTCCGATCCGCTGTGCATCTGTGAGGAACGGTTAAGATGGATGCCGTTTCTCTTGCTAATGAACCACTCTCCCCTGGGAGCACATGAGGGCAGCGCAGGCACCTGCTCCATAGTGAGGTGGAGCCCGTGCTCTGAAGAGCACCGCGCTGCAGGCCCAAGCACTGAGGGCCCTGGCCGGGTAAACATGTTTTCCAGGAGGGCACTCGTTTCTCCATGGCAACAGGCTCTCAGTCTGGAGTGCCTTTCTGGACCATCCCGGGGCACACACTGTTCTGGGGCTCATACACACAGGCTGGGGTGGGATGGGAACAGGCCGCCTGCCCGCCGAAGCCTGGCACGGAGCCCTCTCCTTGCAGGGTAGAGCTGCCCTCTTCCCTCGCTCTTCAGCTCTGAACTGATGTCAGGCAGGCTGGCAGGCCTGTCCGTGTCCTGTCCTTGAGGGGCGGCATGGACACCCCGGTCTACCCTCACAATCTGAGCGAAGCCCCCAGGGACCTGTGGGTTCTCACTGGAGCTGTCGAGCGAGTGGGACAGAGGCTGGGCAGTCGGGACCCTGGTGGGCTGTGCTGACCGTGGGCCGTCTGCTCTCTCCACAGTGGACGTGGCCACGGCACGGCCTCTGCAGGTGGCCCCCTCGGCAGTGCCCATGGACCTGCGCCTGGACCACCAGTTCTCGCTGCCCGTGGCTGAGCCAGCCCTGCGCGAGCAGCAGCTGCAGCAGGAGCTCCTGGCCCTCAAGCAGAAGCAGCAGATCCAGAGGCAGATCCTCATCGCCGAGTTCCAGCGGCAGCACGAGCAGCTGTCACGGCAGCACGAGGCCCAGCTGCATGAGCACATCAAGGTGAGCTGCGGCTGCTCCTGCCACCCCAGAGGCCTCTGGGAGCTGCCCGGGTCCTGGCCTTCCACCTGCTGCTGCCCCAGAGGCCTCTGGGCTGTTGCCCAGGGAGTCCTGGCTGTGCTGTGGCACCAGCTGAGGAGCCTGCTGTGGATAGGGTGGGCAGCACCAGAAGGTCTTGGCAGAGGCGTGTTTAAAATGGGACATCTTTATGCCTAAGGTGTTCGAGACGTGTTCCCAGATGCAGAAATGTACGACTGAAGAAGCACCAAATAGCAGTGACCAAAAATGGGTCATTTTTGTTTTTACCTTCTTGGGACTTTTCTCTTTTCTGTTTTTCCCATGGACCTTTGAGAATTGGAAAATGATAATACTTTAAATGAAATAGGAAAAAAAATACTAAGTTTTTGTACTTATTCTCTACGAATATTTAATCTGCTTGCTAATTGTAGAATTAAGTAAACTGGAAAGAGACTTGCACTGGGCTCCACGGGGCACTTAGCGGGCTGTAACGCCGTCCTCGAGTGCAGTGTGCCCGTGTTCAGAATCCGAGGCGACACTGTCCAGGAAGCGTGCATGGTCGTGCCACAGGCGTGCAGCTCACTCTGAGTCCCAGCAATGAGCCCACAAGACAGGTTGTGTCAGGCACCTCCTGCCGTGGAATAAGATTGCCCCATCCTCAGCTCAATGCCACCAACATATGTCACCTGCAGTCCCCAGGGACAGCTTAGCAGGTGCTTCCGACGGGGTCCCCGCTAGGCTATGGTCAGTCTCAGTAAGTCTACAGCCCTGTCCTTGGTATTGGCCGGACCAAGGCCGGAGGGTCTGCTCTGTGCTCACTGCTGTGGGCGTGGCAGGGCGCCATCAGACACTCAGCACAGCAACTGGCTTCCCCAGGACCACGGCAGATGCCCCAGCAGACCCTGGCAATGGCCTAACTACCGCCGCTTCTGCCTCACCCTGCAGTGACGCAGGGCAGCCCAGTACACCGTGGGGAGGGCACGATGGAAGGGAGCATCGGGACTCGTGAGAGCCTGGCTGACGAACAGTAGCATGAATTTTTTTTTTTTTTTGAGAGATTTTCACTGTAGGGCACGTGCGCTCGCCAGAGAGAGAGAGAGACATAGAGACAGAAAGCGAGAAATCACCCCCCATGGGGGATGGTCACGCCACAATCCCTTCTCCTCCATTCTCCTCTCAGGATCTTGGGCACCCCCGCACATGCGCCCTGCGTGAGTTTTAAGCCACCGGGTCCGGGACGCGAACCGCGGTCGACTACGTGGGAATCCAGTGACATAGCCATTACGCTAACTGCTGGTTCCCCAGTAGCATGAACTTTAACAGGTTCGGTTTATCCATGTTTCTGAAGTAGTATTTCCACATGTGACAGTATAAAAAGTTAGAAATGAGATTCTCGGTATTCTCTTGTTCCTCCCGAGTCCTGGAGAATGCTGGGGAGCAGACAGCCAGGGCCTGTCCCCACTGCCCCAGCCGCCTCTCAAGCCACTCGCAGCCGGCAGCTGCTGTGCTGGACGGCGCAGGTGTGCGGACGAAACCCAGCCTCTGTTTCCTGCTGCTCCGATGAGCTGTGTCTCCACAGACTCTTCCTGTGGGTAGGCTCCGCCAGAGCCCCCAAGACGGTGCCTGCACCAGCCGTTAGAGTGCCCGCTGGCGGTGCACAGTGGTGGCGTGGAGCCCTCGGCCCTGTCCTGGCGAGGCCTTCGACTCCAGGAGCCCAGGCGTCCCTCCTTGGATGTGTGAGGCACCGTGTTCCAAGCGTGGTGAGCAGTCGCCATTGGAGGCCTAGGGTAGCCTAGACCCACTCTGTCCGTGGACTTGGCAGCTGGGAAGCTGGGTCTCGGTGCTGGGAGTTCCATGCTGGTGTCTGTTGTGATGGGTCGCGGTGTCTGCTGCTGCCTTTCACTCTCGGGTCTGGGGTGGGTGGTTGTGGCCCCGTGGTGCCATGCCTTTCCATGTACACCCTCCCAGCTGGCGGGACGAGGCAGAGACGCCGCTGGACAGTCATGCGGGGTGCTGCACTCTGTCATGGACAGGCCAGGCCCTCCTCCTGCAGAGGGCTCCAGCCACGGCAGCGGGCTGTGGCCTCTGGGCTCGTCCCTTGGGGTGCCTGCAGCCCCACGGCGGCCGAGAGCGGCCCTCATGGCCACTTGCTCTAGTTAGCTTCCCAGCCGCGACTTCTCGCTCCATGACTCCAAACGGTAACTGATAAAATAATAGCCTGGCTGGCCCTGCACTGCGGAGGGAGGAGGCCACACAGAGGCCAGACTTCACACGGCCAGTGAGGGTTCGAGTCTTGCCTTCAGTGGCTTTGAAAAGCACCCCAGGCATCCCCATGGGTGCCTAGGATCCTGACGAGACAGAAAGTGGGTAGAGAGGACGGCAGCGTGAGCGGCCCACGTCTCTGGCCTGTTATGTGTCAATTGAATTTATATCTTTTACAAGAAAAACAATAACTGAGAAACCAGCAAGAATCAAGGAGACCCTTGAGTCAGGGTCAGTGTAGCTGAGGGCAGTGCCAACCGGCCCCACCAGCCTGGTCCAGTGTCGCCCCCTCCACCCCGGTGTGGGGGCTTCAGGAGTGTGCATTGCTCTTTGTGCTGCGGAGAAGCACCCTGCCCTGCTCCACAGGCTGCACCAGTGGGGCCTGGAGAGTTCACGTCCGCGGTGCCTGACTTCCCCGTCCCCGAGTGATGGGGCAGCCCCTGGGACGTGGCTGCGGAGCTGGTCTCCACGTGGGCTCTCGAAAGCTGCTCAGGGTTACTTCTCCCTTCGCATTTTATTGTTCGCTTTATTTTTCATTAAGTGGAGCTCATAAAAGCCATTCAGGACTGTGGCTGTTGCGCCCCTCTCGTGGGCTGGGATGACGTGTGCTCTTCCCGAGCCGCATGCTGCTGGTGACATTTGCCAGGGTGTTTGTCACACAGGCTTCTTGAGCTCAAAATCTAATTAGTGTCATTAAATCATCAGTGAGTTGAATGAGGTTTTATAATTGAGAAGGGAATAGTTTTTAAACTACGGCTCTAATTGCTGATCTGCGTAAATAAGGCCTGTTAAAGGGTCTCGTGCTCAGCACCGCACTCTGCTTTCCAGACTCCTTGCGGTATGGCCCATTTTCCTTCAAAGCGTGTTTATACCACGAGTGAGGAGGACACCACCATGTCCTGATGCCACCAGCTACCCCGGCAGCAGCCAGCCCTGACTTGGGCACACATAGGCCTGGCGCAGTGTGGACACCCTGGACGTGGACCCAGGATCTTCCCGCATAGACCAGGCTTGCAGTGCACCGTTTCCTGCTGCTGCCCTGACCAGTCCTGCTCAGGGAGGCTTCGAATAGCACGTGCTGTCCTTCCTGGGCTCTCTGCTTCTCTACTCCGAGCGTTTGGGTGTGCATGTGGGATGGGGGGTGAAGGGCTCAGAGGGCGTGGGGCCTGGGGGCTATCTCACCAACTGGATGGCCAGGTAGTTCCGACACTTACCCACGTTCACTGCTTTCAAGGCTAACTGTGTTACTTTTATATTAAAAAAATCTTCATTGAAGAAATAACACATTCCTGGTATTCCCAGTTGGAAGTCATGTGGCATGGGCTCAGGGTGGCAGGTCCAGCCCTCTCTGCTCACCACCTTCATCCTGGGACCAGATCTCCTTGAGGCAGAAGCCAATCTCGTCCTTCCAGTGAGTTCCACGGAGGGATGACCCCGCCCAGGCACGACCTGGTGCCCCTCCCCACCTGCACACACCGCCTGCATGGCCCCTTGTCACGACACCACGATTTAAATCCCCCTTTTGTACAAAAGCAGAGGGACTTCGGCGTGCTAGACTGCATGAGTCCTAGCTGGCGCTGGGCAGCAGCAGGCGCAGGGCCCCGGCCCACTCCGCACGTCAGCCCTGGCTGCCCTCAGACCACTTGCCGGGCTCTCACAGCGTGGAGCCTGTTCGGGGTGTTGGCAGCTGCACGGCTGGCCCTCTGCACCTCTGACCGCCTGCTGGGGAGCACACGATGGCCTGGCTCCCTGGCCTGGCATCGCCAGGCTGTTGGGGCAGGGGCCCACCAGAGGGTGGACGGGGACCAGAGGCACATTGGCTCTGAGGGTTACCCCGAGGAGAGGGCCATGCACACAGAACCAGGGCACCGTTGGCCTCTGCGGGTTCTGGGTCGGACTCCCATCCCTCATCTCTGTCCGTGGACTGCCCTGTGTTTATGGGTTTGGCCCTGTGTTCCGTTGGGTTCTGTTTTTGTATTAGGAACATGTAAGACCTCGTGTCTCCCCCGGGGACGTCCTGCCTTGCGGCTGCGCTCCGTTCATAGGCACCGCCACCCGCTCACCGCCGCCTCGCCCCGGTGCAGCCACACCTTCTCTCGTGGGCACTCCCTCGCTCTGTTCCTGCCACCCCAGGCTCTAACAGCAACCCTGCCATCCAGCCTCCTGGGGGTCTTTGTCCTCGTAGACATTTGGCTCTTTCAAAACACATGGTTTTCCGTCCTCTCCGTGGTCTTTGCGTGGACCCTGGCTGTCTGCAGCCCTCACCTGTTCCTGGGCTGTGGCATCGTCTCCTTAAACCTTCCTCTGGAGCCCCCCAAGGGGCAGAGCCACTGATGGTAAAGGGCCATCGGGAGCAGGAAGGGCCCCAGGCCCCCGGACGCACATGAGCGGGCAGCACCAGGATGTGCTGCACCACGTTCCGGGCAGTGCCGTGGCTGCGCAGCGCGTGGTCAGGATGGATCCCTGACTGTACCGCAATGTCGGGCATTGCTGAGAGGACACATGGGTCTGATGCCGTGAGCTGGGAAAGCTGCTCCCGTTTGAAGTCTGTCCTGTGGTCTCGGGGCACATGAATGTGTGCATCCGGATTCTCAGAGTTTGGCTACTCTCCACGAGCTGGACTCTCGTGAGTCACGCTGGCGTGTACACACCCGCACACCCTCGCTTCCTCCCTGGGTGAGCAGCAGAGCTGCAGTGATGGGGCAGTGGGCCCTTCCTGAGCT